GAGCCCTTTTGTGATTTTTTGACCCATTTGCCCTTCAACATTCGAGTTTTCACCCCGAACTCATAGTCGACCTTCATAGGCTTTGAGTCTGCCAATAGCTTCTTCAAATGGCATTGTATCCAAGTCTGAATACTGTTCTATCGAGGCCACAAGTTGTAGAAATTTTTCTAGGGCAAAATCAAGCAATTTCCTCACCAAAGTACTATCTTCCATTGTTGCACCAAGGCTGATGTATTTCGAGTTTATCCCACTCAGCTTCCCTGCGAATTCATCTATGGAATCTCCTTCTTTCATCTTCAGTGCATCAAACTCACTTTTGAGTGTGTGCAATCTCGCCTTTTGCACTCGATCTGCACCCAGGTACCGGATTTTTAAAGATTCCCACACTTCCTTTGCAGTTTTCTTCTTGGCCACCTGCATGAGGATATCCTCTGGTATTGCTTGGAAGATGTAGGCTCGTGCCATCTTGTTCTTCTTCTCATCAACAGTCACTCCGACTGTTGGTTCTATGGATTCCCAAACACCTTGAGCATCCATGATAGCCTCCATCTTGATTGCCCATGTGGTATAGTTTGTTGAAGTCAACAATCGACACTGGAACGATACCCCACCGTTATCTTTTGGTACCTGTTGACTGGAACCTGTCATGTTGTCGTATCTTATGTATTTGGGCATAAACTGGAAAGCTCTGATACCAAGTGTTGGATCAGGCCCCTGTTAAGATCAAAAGTAGTATACCCAAATAAAGTAAAACACAGAATTGCAGGGAAAGATTCCCAGTTTTCTCCCTCTTATTTCTGATAATCAAAACAAATACTTACAAGCTTTTAAATAACAAACAAAACAAAGTAACTGCAAAGCTAAAACTGAATAAACGTGTGCTCCTAACTAGGTGGCAACTAAGCCACTTATTCCTATTGACAAGGTCAATTAAAGACCAAGTCAGAATTACTTTTTCCTCCACACATGATACTTTCAAATGGAAGTCGTTGAGGAGGCTCTTGCCCTTAACAAATATGAGTTACTTGGTTGACTACTCCAGGTAATGATTTCCTTTGAATCGTATAACGATTTTCATAGTTAGAATCAAATTAAAATTGATTCCATAGTTGGAATCAAATAGGAATTAGGAATGCACATGACTAAATCAGTTTTAAACTATTGGAATCAATTGACAATGATTAGCTATATTAATGCTTGCCAATTATTTAAGGTATGATGCTTTTTCCACTTATTTTTTTTTTATCTTTTTATTGTTTGAAGGAAACCAAATACTTATTTAATATGGTTTTAAAAACACAAATGTATGTGATTCTTACTATTTAGCATTTATTATTGCAACTTTCTTCGGTTACAGGGGAGATACGTCAGTTAAAAGAGGTTGTTGCTCAACAAAAGCTGCAAAAAAATGTTGAAGCGTGGGTTGCGATGGATGATGGAGCAATTGAGGATCTTTAATAATCACTATCCATTAAGGAAGATTATATAACAACTCACTATAAGTTGTGCAATTAGGTAATTTGTCAAGCTATTCCTTAGAAGAAACAAACCTTTTATGACATAGTTGTCTCTTTTGATTCTTACGTTGATTTTACGTTATACTTTATCATTTAGTGATGTCCTTTATATATAGTACAAACCAAAGGAAATAGCAACATATTTTACCTTTTTTTTACGTAGATGATGTATTTTAGTTGTCTATCCAAGATATCAAAATTACTTATAGTTATTTGCCCATTATAACAACCCATTAAAATTTTTATTACATATAGTAGCAATTTGCAACTCATAATAGCAATGTACTTATGTTTTATTACATGATCAAGCCTTCATATGAATTTCTTCAAGTATAATGATGTATTAGAAATAAGCAAAATTCTGATACTATAAGCCACAAGTAAACAAAAGTATGTTGCTTTTCTTGCATCTTTGGACCACCTTGCCTAACACCAATATCAATTATATTTCAACTAAAATGTTACAGATCACCACTAGATTACCTTGGTGTTGGTAGAAAATTACAAAAAAAATTACTAAGTGATTAAAATTTGATATTAAATGAGAATTAAAAGATAAACATTGATGAACAAATCTTATCTAAGTTATTTCCTATTTACCATTCAAAAAATATATAGTTTTGATTTTAACATATTTTAACAATTTATAATAGGAACAAAAAACAAATTTCCATTCACTAATAAATCTTAACAACATGAATTTCAAAAAAGAATAATCATAATAAGGTTTAAACATCAGTTATATAGGATATTGCACATGAAAATCGATAAATGGCAACAAATTAACAACATACCAACTAATTGTTTATGATTATGGTTATTGTCATGATGCAATCTAATTTTTGTGGTGGATAGATAAGATCATTCACTAAAATATTAGTTTAAATTCAAAATATTATTTGGTTTTTCATTTCTTGGTTTTTATTTATAAACATAGATTTGAATTTTGTTGTATATTCTTTTATAACAAGTCACTTATTATGTATTACTTATTTTAAGTGGGTATCCCTCTATTACACGGGTTATAACATACAGTACTTGTTAGTTGTGAACATAATAAAAACAATTATCCTATGCGTGCACATATTAACATTTATACTTGATGCCGAAAAATGGACTCAAATTCCAAGTTTTAATTTCATAACAAACAAAGAACTTCTTTATACACTATAGATCAAATCAGTCGAAAAACAAAACAAAAGAAAAAATCAAAACTTTAATTACAAACACTTGGGAATTTAGATGAAAATGTCCCAAATACCATGAAAAATCCAAGCTTCAAAGAATATGATCCACAAATACAATTGATAATCAATTGAGTGTGGATTTACAAGATTTGAATTCCTGCAACAATTTCCCATCTCGAATCCCAACAAGAAATTGGGCTAATCCTTCAAGAAACAGAGCTGCTTGATACACAGTTGTTACACTCACAATCTCCGATATCACATCCTTCCTCAGCCTATTCGCATCCATAACAATCCCTACCATCTCTTCCTCCATCTCCGCCGCAGCAGCCGCCGGAGACACCTCGCCTGAGCCGACTTTCTGAACAAACCCCGCTTGAGCTCTCCTTGCTCTGTTCATCAATGCCGGCACCATCAACCGCAGCCCACGTTCAATCTGATCGATTCTAGTTGTTAATTTACGTGACTGGATCTTCCAAGCATTCATTAATGGCCACTGTTTCTTCAAGAACTCGCAAGATTCACCCACTTCGATTTCGTCTTCGTCTTCTTCTTCCATTTCTTGTTCTTGTTGTTCTTGATAATCAAACTCTTCGTCTTCGTTCTCTGGTTCTTGAAGCGAGAAACTGTCGTCGTGTTGGAGGAGGTAGGAGCGGAGGAGGTTGGTGAAGAGGTAGGGGTGGAGGTCGCCAAGCCAGAGGAAAGGGAGTTCCATGGCGTTACGGTGGTCGACGGGGATGAGGATTTGAGAGACATCGGTGGAGGCGGCGAGGTCGAGGTTGTGGTAGTAGGATTTGAAGTGGTGGTGGAGGATTTCAACGTGGGCGGAGAGGAGGTTTGGGGAGGAGGTGGAGGTGGCGCAAGACATGTGGTGGCGGAGGATTGGGAGGTGGATTGTCTTCAGGGTGTCGATCCATATGGCGTAGTAGTCCCTGAATCGCCGGCGACTGGTGGGTTTCTTTCGAGCTGCAAATGCAATGATCATTAATTCATCAAACAATTAATCATTAATCATAATAAAATTCTTAAAGAAATTTTGAAATATGTTTATGAGAATGAATTACAGAGAGAGATTGAGAAACTTACATAAAGATCTGATCATCTTTTTGGGGGAAAAAGATTGGGAATCTTGAAGTGGGATTCGAGTTCTTCAGGAGATGAAAATCGAATTTATATAGATTTCCATTAAACTCCCACTGCATTTTCTTTTCGTTTCTATTTTGGGGGAGAAATCTACTTATAGATTTTGTTAGTATTATTGCCCTTATTTCTCTACATGATTTTAATTTTATTATTTATTTATATATTTTAATTTGTATCTCTTTTCCATAAATTGGAAATATAATCGATTTTGTTGGTTCTATTATCCGTTTAACCTTACTAAATATAAAAGGGTTTCACTTTTTTTTTTTTTGAAAGAGATGTAAAAGCGTTTCACTTATTAAACTTCATGGTGAATTTCTGAGATAATATAATATTTAATAAAAAAAAGTTGAAATATTCAAAATAAGATGGTTTAAATCATGTTCCCGATCTTAATCTTAAAATTTTACAATTTTAAAATTCTACAAGTCAAAAACAATCATAATCTCACTAAGATCTATCTGAAAGTTTTCTATTCCAATAATTCTCCACATCATAAAAGATTTATATTGAAAATTCAAAATGCTAACTATTAATAAATAAAATTGCTTTCAAGTTTAAACATTGGAAAAATGACCAAGGAGAATAATTATATTTTGAAATTGTTCAAAAAATATCATTTAAGTTTGGCATATAGAAAAATATATTATCAAAATAAGACTTTTATACAAAAAAATATTATCAAAATAAGACCTTTGCAGTTCGCACACAACACAACCACAAACACTCACAACTTAACTAGAAACAACTTATTTTGATAAAATTAAAGAGATTATTGTCTAGTTTCGAGTCATCTTAACTTAACTTGAAAACTTATTTACGTCTAGAATTATCAATGAGAACATCATTATATATAATGACGACTTATTTTAGTGGTGTGCAAAATCCACAACCAATATATGCATCGATCCATAGTACTAGATGTTTTTTTATTACCCAAACCAAAGATAAATGCAAGCGTGAGAAAAATGCATACATAAGGACCGTTTTTTCAATTTACTCTTCATTAATCATTAAATGATCAAATAAAAAGTTAAGGGGGTAAATATAGTAGTTCATGAATAACCAAGGGATTATTTATGCTTTCCCTAAAAATACCTAAGTAAAGGGCTAAATTTTATCGTGTCATCCTCTCCCCAATCATCTCTCCACCATGACACCACCCGCCACCATGACCACCACCACCACCATCCTCCTACTCTTCCTCACCCTTTTCCCCTCCGTCACTCTCCAACAACAATCCGATCTAGACTCAGACTGCACCAATCGCTGGATCCACATCCGTCACCTCCCATCACGTTTCAATCTCGATATCCTCACCAACTGCTCCGCCACCCACCACCCATTCTCCGACGACTTCTGCCCTTACATCTCCAACCATGGCCTTGGCACCAAAACCCACAACCAATCACACTCATGGTTCCGCACCGACCCTTCACTTCTCGAACTCTTCTTCCACCGCCGTATGCTCGAATATCCATGTCTCACCGCCGATCCTTCCGCCGCCGACGCCATCTACCTCCCGTACTATGCCGCCCTCGACTCCCTCCATTACCTCTACGGCCCCGATTACAACTCCTCCTCCCAACACGGCCTTCACCTCTACAATTTCCTCCGGTATCATGACTCGCCGGAGATCTGGCTCAACAACCAAGGCCACGACCATTTCCTGGTACTCGCCGGAAGCGCATGGGATTTCAGTCAGCCATTAGGTAACGATCCGCCGTTATGGGGCACTTCGTTTCTTGAATTGCCGGAGTTTTTCAACATTACCACATTAACTTTGGAATCAAGAGCTTATCCTTGGCAAGAACAATCAATCCCTTATCTCACATCATTCCATCCACCAAATCTAGCACTCTTCGATTCATGGGCTAAAAGGGTTCGTAGATCAAGAAGAACAACCCTAATGTTATTCGCCGGCGGCGGCGGGATCTCCTCCACACCCAATGTACGACGGAGCATCAGATTAGAATGCGACAACAGTTCCAAAATCGAAAACACAACTCAGAAAACCAACAACCAATATTCCAAATTCTGCGAATTTGTGGATTGTTCAAACGGGATCTGCGAGCATGATCCAATCAAATTCATGAAACCAATGTTACATTCTAGTTTCTGCCTGCAACCTCCGGGAGACACCCCAACACGACGATCAACATTTGATAGCATTCTCGCAGGCTGCATACCAGTGTTCTTCGAGGAACTATCAGCCAGAAAGCAATACGGATGGCATTTACCTGAAGACGAATACCATGAATTCTCTGTGATGATTCCGAAAGAGGAAGTCGTGTTTAAAGGGGTGAAGGTGTTGGAGATTTTGAAGGGGATTCCGAGAAGTGTAACGAGGAAGATGAGGGATAAATTGATTGAGATGATTCCCAGAATTATGTACAGAAAACATGGGAGTTCATTGGGTTTGAGGACGAAAAAAGATGCATTTGATATCGCCATTGAAGGTACACTTCAAAGGATTAAAGCCAGACTTGATGATGTTGCTGATAAATGACCGAATTTTTGGTAATTTATCAATTTCAAAATTATTATTATTGTACCATTGATTCACTAGATTTGTAGAAAGATTTCATGGTACTTTTATTTATTTATTTATATACATTGTAACATCTTACTTCTATTATCTTCTATTTAGATTATTCAAAATGAAATGTTGTAATTGGCATTGTTATAATTGTATAGATTATAGAAAAAGGAAATGTTGCAATGTGATAAAAATAGAAATAAGATTCAATAATAAACAAATATGGTAGCTATTTCTTGCATTTAACCAATTTATCATTATATCTTATTACTCTATTATGCTAAAATAATAATCTTTTAACAATTGGTAAAGATTTAAGAAAATTCTCACGAAGTTTTGCAAGATAAAATGCACAATGAAGAAAAAGAATGAAAATCTTATTAATGCTTTGCTACTTCACAACTAAGAACATGATAATGAAACATTAAAAAAAAAAACCTCTTCACCCTCACAAAAATGATCAAGATTTTGGAATTTTTTTCATACAAACTTCACAACATCTTTCTTCATTCTTCCTTTCTTCCCACTCAAAGTACACAAACCAATAATTGTAAAAAGACAATTCTACCCCCATCTGAGTATAGCAGAACCCCATGTAAGGCCAGCACCAAATCCAGCAGTGGCAATAGTTTGACCTTGTTTGACTTTCCCACTTCTAACTGCTTCATCTAACGCCAAAGGGATTGAAGCTGCACTTGTATTCCCATACTTTGCAAGATTCGATATCACTCTATCTTTTGGCACCTCCAATCTTGTTGCCACCCCATCAATGATCCTCTGGTTCGCCTGTCAAAATTACACAAATACCCTTCAATCTTCATGTGTGTCAAATTACATAAATACCCTTTTTCATGAAGTAATGGGACCCACACCCACCTGATGGAGCAGTAGCCAGTCGATATCTGACCGATTAAGACCAGCTTTTGCTAGTGAGGCCTCAATTGTCTGTGGGACAACACTCACAGCAAACCGAAACACTTCTGTTCCATTCATTTTTATACATGAAAAAGATGAATGATTAGGAGGGAACCCTAGAGCTGATCCGTTTGTACCCAGTGCATCGTTTGTTGTACTTTCTCTGATTCCAGCATTCAGGTGCCTGTTTGGGAAAAGGGTTATCGAAAAGTTTTGATTTTTTGAACAAATTTACAATCTTTCTTTAAAGAAACCAAAAAAAGTTTAAATTTTTTTCACGAATTGACAATCTTTCTTTAAAGAAACCAAAAAGTTTAAATTTTTTTCACAAATTTAGAATCTTTCTTTAAAGAAACCTGTTGCCATCTCCATCACTGTGAAAGTCAAAACCAAATAAACCGTCCTCTTCGCTGTCACATGCCTGTTGAAATTCCAAGAATACCCTTTAAGACATACAATTTAAAAATTAAAAAACAAAAAAGTTAAAAGAAAACAGACATACCTGGACAAGAACAGCACCAGCTCCATCACCAAAGAGAATGCATGTCCCTCTATCTGTCCAATCAACAAAACGTGAGAGTGAATCTGCTCCAATCACAAGTACATTCTTGAAACCACCACCTGTAAATCATAAAATAAAAATCAAGAAATGACACCAAAAGGGCAAATTGCAATGAATAACAGCATACTTTACTCTCACTACAAATATGGGCAATGTACTTTATTGTTTACCCCAAGTATGTTGATATTTATGTGTAAAGATTTGTAAGTACATTGCTATTATGGGAATAGAAATCGATTGGACCCAAAAAAAACAATCTTTATACCTCGAATGTAGCAAGAAGCTGAAACTAAGCCTAATACAAATCCACTACAAGCAGCTGTAATGTCAAAAGCAAGTGGATTCCCTTTACATCCAAGTGCTTTTTGAATCTGAAATATGATAGAAATAAATAAAAATGGTAATACAAAAAAGATTATTAAATTTAGTTACTTGAAAAAAGAAAACGATTGAACCTGTGGAGCACCACCGAATAGATCTTCTGGGGTTGATGTACACAATAAGATAAGGTCAACATCATCAGGTTTGACTTCTGCCATTTCTAATGCTTTTTGAGCTGCTTCTACAGCAAGACCAGTCATGCTTTCGTTACCTGTATTATATGATTTATAGAATCTATTTTTAGATTGTTAAAGAAATGATATGAAAGAAACAATAAATCAAGAAGTGGATGAATAAAATAATAACCTGTAAGAATTCGTCTGTTACGAATTCCAGTTCTTGCAGATATCCATTCATCATTAGTATCAACAATTTTAGCAAGATCATCGTTAGAAATCTGGAGATGAGGTACAGCTGATCCACATCCAACTAGTTTGCAACCCTTGCTTACCAGCCTGTTAATTGGATGATTGAAAAAAAAAGAATTATAATAATCGGCAAATCTTGTAAATTCACATGCAACTGCAAATAAGGCGAAATGATCTTGATGTCGTTCTAAACAAAGATTCTGTTTGGCTTTTGATGTAGCTTATTGTATAAATCTGCAGGTAGCAAGATTCTTTAGTGCTTCAAATCAGATAAAACTTAAAATCATAACGTTTTGTTATAAAATTTTGAAAAAATGTAGATTTCGAAGTTGAAGATCCATAAACTGAAGGCTAGAAATGAAAGGGGATAAAGGAATTTGCATAGGAATGTATGTCGATTTTGAAGTTATGATTCATGAACTCCGCTTAAGAAGATGAGAAGTAAAATAAATTGACCTAAATGAATTAGATTTATAGATTTTTGAAGTGGGAATTGGGAAATTAGCTCCTTTGACTTCGAAAGTCAAAATGCATACTCACCGATACGACAATGATATGCTAGTAATAGTGTACTCTAATGATTTGAACCAAAATCAGATTGATTCGCTTTCCAACAAACCCAACTTAAACCCACAAATTTGTCGATTATGAATTAGAAAACGAGCCCATGAGTAATTTCAAACGAAAACCAATGAAAACAAAACTTAGAAATAGGAACTAACCTGGGCGAACGAGATTCAGGAGGGGAAAAACTCTCAACTCCTTGAGAAGTACTGGAGCAGCGTATCCTTTTGGAGATTACATCAGGGCAACGAAACCCAGAACGATTGAGATTAATAGATGAAGAGATTCTCATAGTTGGAGTGAAAAACCCAGATGCATTCGCCATTTACTGAGCAATCAAGATCCAATTTGAAGCAAATAGTTAGCTAATTTATAATGGTGAAAGGAGAAAATGCGAAGCATGAATGGATTAAGATGTGAAAGGATTGAAGAATGGATGATTGAGAAGAACGATGGTTCATATGTGTGTGGTTTAAAGTTTGCGGAGCAGTCGAAGCTCAAAGCAGAAGGCGACCATGCCAATTTGCCAACTGCAATTTGAGAGGAAACTCCGAGGCGAATAAAGAAAACACAAAACTATGGATTTATGTCTACACAATCCGTAGGTGTATTTTCTATTTTTTTAGTATAAATTGTTTGTATAGATTTTGGACATAATAAAACAGGATTAAATTCGTAAAAAATAATAATATGAATGATATATATAAAACAATTATATTTTAATTATTTTTAAAAGTTTAAACATAAACATTAATTTTTATTTCGGGTGAATGAAAGTCATATATATATATATATATATATATATATATATATATATATATATATATATATATTAATTTTCATTACATTTTGAAGTGATTTTTCATTTAACCAAATGGTATGTGATAACCTTTTAAACCAACAAATAAGAAGTCATTTCATAAATGAATATGTTATTTCGTAAAATATATATGATGTCACGTTAATACATTAGAAGTCGTGTTAGTTTTAAAACTTTTAAACTGAAACAGAGAGTCTGAATGGTTCGTCGCAATAAAATTTTCTTAAATAAATTATATGGCTTTTATGGACCAAAATATACTACCCAAAAATGACACATCATGTAATTTGTTTGTTATATTTTTAACCTTGTTCGTATTTATAAAACAATTATATTCATAGATATTATGATTATGCAGTATTTTATATTAGTAGATTTTTAATTAAACTTAAATAATTTTTATGTTTAAGTTAACTTTTATCATAAAGTTTAAAATAATAATTCATTGACGAAGCCTTAAAGATGTAGGTAAAAATATGTTAAAGGTTCAAAACCATGCATATTCAAAACATTGTTAGTGCGGTATGATTGACCTTTTATGTAGACATTGTGGCAGATTAACATATCAGATGGTATAGTTTATTGTTTTTTGTTTGTTTACTAATTATTCCACTTAAATTAGTGCTTTTATACAACAATTTATTATATTTTAAAAAAGAGAAATTTCCGTCAAAATCCTATTATTTTATATGAATAAGTCTCAAACTAAAATTTGTATACGAAAAACATTAATTACCGGTAAAAATGACAATTTGACCCATTTTTTCCGGTTTACCGGTTTCATTAATTATGTGGACGCCTAGTCATTAAATGAGTTGGGAAATCTCCATTAAAGTATCATTATTTTAACATAATTTACGAACAAGTATGAAACTAAAGTTTGTTTACAAAATACATGAATTACCGATAAAAATGATGATTTGACTATTTTATCCTTGTAACACATATTTTATCGGTTTCATTATTGGTCTGAACACATTGTCATTAAATGAGCTTATGAGATGAATATATTGAGTTATATAATGTTATGTTTATTGTAAAACATGATATCCTATTGAATTATATATTTTTTGGAATATGAACTGCATACAATAATTACATGAACTAGCAACAACTTCATCATTTTTAAAGTTTATAAGAAATTTCAAATTGTCTATTTATTTTTATGTAACTTAGTATATCCATCGCATCAGCTCATTTCCATCTTTTTTTTTTCGGTTGCACACATTTTATCGGTTTCATTGCTAACCTCGACGTCTAGTCATCAAATAAGTTAATGAGATGGATATCAAGTTCTATTGTAAACATAACATTATATAACACATCCTATCCATCTCATCATTTCCTTTAATGACTAGGCTTCCAGGTCAACAATGACATCGATAAAATGTGTGTTATAGGGAGAAAAATGTCAAATCATCATTTTTACCGGCAATTCATGTTTTTTCGTAAATAAATTTTAATTTGACACTTATTCGTAAATTAGAGTAAAATAACCAGACTTTAATAAAGATTTCTCCAACTCATTTAATGACTAGGCGTCCACGTCAACAACGCAACCAGTAAAGCTTGAAAAAAAGTCAAATAGTCATTTTTACTTGTAATTCATGTTATTTCGTAAACACATTTTAGTTTATGATTTATTCGTAAATTAGGGTAAAAATAATGAGACTTTAATGAAGATTTTCATTTTTAAAAACTACATTATTTTGATACATTTAAGGTTGGATCAGTAAAATTTGGTAACAATTTTGGTCATAAATCCTGTTGTACAATAATCTCTTATTAGTAGTTGGAATATAATTTCTAGAATTTATTGGTATTTAATTGATTTAAACAGTTTGTTTTTGGTGACCTCCATTAATAATAGTTCCAACCAGGGATGAGATTTAAAAACGAAAAACTAGACTGGAACCGAAACCTTTAGAACTGAAATATGTAGAGTCAGTCATGGTTCTGGGTTTAAAGAATGACTTTATTTGGTTCCGGATAATCCGGGTTTTGGGTCATTTGGGTATGGGTAAACCGGATTTAAGAATTGTAACTGGTTTTTGTGAAAAGTTTAAAACATATATATCTCATTCGTTTAAAGTCGTATTGACATGAGGTTTTTTCCAGAGTGTAGTTTATAGTTTGTACATGATTTTATACTATAATTTTGTCGTTTTTAGTTTCATATTCATTAACTTACAGTCCTCCAAAGTTGGAATATCAAAGCTGATTTTTTTTATGTTTTTCAGCTTTTTTTATATTCTATCAAAGTTTTAAAACATGCATATCTAATTCGTTTGAATCGGATTACCATGCGGTTTTCTCCAATGTGTAGTTTATAGTATGTACACGATTTTAGACTATAATTTTGTCATTTTTGGTTCATATTCGTTGACTTACAGTCCACCAAAGTCGAGATATCAAAGCTGGAAATAATCTGTTTTTCAACCTTTTTTTTATTCTGTGGAATTTTAAAACATACATATTTAATTCGTTTGAAGTCGGATTATCATTAGGTTTTTTCCAACGTGTAGTTAATTTTGTCAATTTTGGTTTAATATTCAAGGACTTACAGTCCCCGAAGTCAAGATATCAAAGTTTGAAAATTTTCAAAGTTCAACCCACTAAGCAATTACCAAAAAATTTCGGTTTTCCCTGGTTTTCCGGTTCTAGACCAACTTTACCCTAAACCGGTTCCTATATACTAGTCTAGTTTCAAGTCTTACAAAATCTGATTAACTGGTTCCCGGGTTTTTCGGGTTCGGGTCTATCCGGACCGGGTTTGGACCCACTTTCATCCCTAGTTTCAACCACATATTGAACGACGCATACTGGGGTTGTTTTTCTTTGATTCCTAACCAAAATCAAAAGCATCTGAATATGATTAACATTCAAGCGATTTTGTTATAAAAAATTGTTATAAAAAATTGATAGAAATAAATAGATGTGGGAAAGAATCATACCAGATTAAGAGAAATGAGTCTTGAATAGGGATGTCAACGGGGGAAAACAGGACAAAGATTGCATCCCCGCCTTTGCCCCCGAAATTCCCTCGTTCCCCCGCCCTCGAATTCCCCTTATTACCCTTGCCCTGCCCCCGTTCCCCCGCTCCCGATTGATTTTGGGATACCTTCTTTGTGCTAAAAGAAGTTGGTGTTTTGGCTAAAAGAAACTATTTTTTAGGTAACAAATAGTTATTTATAAAAGAATTTTACATGTTATAAACAACTTAAAAACATGTTTTTTTGCTGAATTTTGACAGGTCAAATCATGCTATTGTTTATTATATACATAATTAATATATGTAAATAGCTAAATATATATAATTTATTAACGAGCCGCCATGGGAGTTTCGGAATGGGACTGCCCACCCTCGCCTCGCCCTCGAAATTAAAATAGGGGTTAACCCCAACCCCCACCCCCAATTTTTTTAAACAAATACACCTATACGGGGGTACGAGAACAGAGTTTCACGTTACTTTTTGATATCCATAGTCTTGTATCATAAGTTCGATAATTTGTGATATGTTAAAAATACCTAAATATGAGTGTTTTCAATTGGGATGGTGGTTAATTAATTAATGTTTATAAAAGAATCAATAATTATTTAAAAGTATATATATAAATAAAGTATACAAAAATTTATTATTAAAATTAAATATGAAATAAAACTTTTAGTTTGATAAATCCAAGTTTATGTTTGTCTGAATGGTGGAAAGTTCCATAAAAATTCCAATAAGATATTAAAGAATAAATACAAGTTTATCGATTGATATTCAAGTTACATATTAATATTTATATCTATATATTCCTATTCTAATAAATGAATAGTTTTAATATCGTTTTCCCAAGTGTCACTCTAATATAACTCATCATTAATATTATGTCATGTGTCATGTAGATACTAGGCGAATGACCGCGCGTTGCGCAGAAACACCTATATAGTTGAAATCTTTACAAATATATGTTTTCTTAAATATAACAATAACGTTGTTTTTAAATTTGATATAATAATTCGTATACGAAATTGATATAATATATTGATTATTTTGAATTATATTATAATATATAAATCTATTAAAACTACATAATTTCTATCGTTTGAATGATCTTTACCCGCGTGCTACTCATAAATGAAAATAAAAATAATATATGGTTTAATACTATTTGTTATTGTTAATTAATTTTTTAAAATTTATTTGTTTAATGTTTTAATTTCTATCATTGTAATTATTTAAAACATTAAAAATTGTTTAAGCTAAATTCAGTCTTATAATAACATAAGAAAGTCGTGGAGTGCATAAGCCCCTTTAGAGATAGGGGCTACTTTCTTGTGGTAGTCATTGTGAATGAGCAAGTAGGGGGCGGGGGCAGGAGTGGAAACGTCTGAGAGAGCGCTTCGCGAAAGAATCGTGTGAAGAAGAATAGCCCCGCTCTCTAGCCGACTGATCTTGTTGATCAAACTGGGAGGGAACGTGTACAGCCTCCAATTTCTTTTTTTTTTTCTCTTCATTCGAACTATCTCTCCACACCAAGGAACCAAATCACAATGGATCGAACAACTGAAAAGGGCGTGATTCATTAAGTGAAAGACGCTCTCCCACCTCTCCAGCTTGGGAATAGTTCTTTCTACTGGCTATCTATCTGTACAATGTCAGTTCAAGCTTTTAAAATGTAACAATATAATCGTTTATATAAAATTAGTTTTAACTATTGTTATTGTAATTTATTTTAAGCTATTTATTTGAAAATTTAAATAATTATAAAAATATCTTTAGGAAATATTTTAGT